TTGCTAGGCCCAGTGTTAGCAACACTCCCGGTTGGAGCCCCGTGAGCTCACCTACACGTCAAGGAGGAACTGAAGTAGCCTCTCAAGGCTATCAGCATAGGTAGGAAAAAAAGAAGGCGAAACAGACACTCCGCACACGGGCTTGCCTAATGTGAGCTCCATATCTATTTAAATTATAATTTGGTTTCGGTAATAAATGTATTTATTTGTACATATTTTACGAGACTACTTGGCAACAGCGTATATGTTTTGATGTCCATTTCTCTAAATCGGTAGGCTCGTATTTCCATACTGGCTGCTAAAAAAATAAGTATTACTTTATGGCAATTCATAACTTATTATAAACTACTACGATTTATTATAATAGTAGATATAATTGGTGTTACACGATCTATACATTTACCATTAAAAATATATGTAAAACTAAATAACCAAATCGTCAATTATCAGCATTATTATGTAGGCAGCAGGTTGGCGCAACCCCTGGCGTTGCTGACGTCCAAGGGCGTCGGTAACCACTCACCATCAGGTGGACCGTATGCCCGTCTGTCTCTAAGGACAATAAAAAAATCTGTATATAAAAATTCAGCTAAATCAATTCGGGATTTATTTGCAACGAATAACAGACACACAAGCATTCGTATTCAATTACAATATTTTTAATTATTCGTAAAATTGATTTTAATGTATACTACACATTGTCATGTATACTATATTAAAATGAATTTTACGTTTTTTTAATTTTTAAAATTTTCATTCTAAAGTTTACGATGTATCAAATAACTTACAATCTCGAAGCTCAAATTTCGCTAAGTAGTAGTTGGAAATTGAACTCTTCTAATTAATGTTTCTCTATCCTCAGGGCCCGGTATTAAGGGCACAATGGCGATACTAAACTGTCTGCTGGCCCGACAACTCTGCTTCGAAGACGCCTCCTGCTCCGCCATCCTCGAGATAATACCGCGCGTCTGTGGCTCTGAACTTGGTAAGACTTATATATACATACCTCTTTTTGAAGTGAAACTTCTTTAGAATCTTTGGGTGTGATTTCAAACTCGATGAAACGAAAAAATGAAACGTGAAGTTAAAATATCAATTCACAGAGGGCGCTACCTCATACTATAAAAGATGATTTACGATTATTTCTATTTAGTTTGTTATCAACAGATGTCGCTGCACGTAAATTAAACAATTCCTGAATCGCGATGACGAGATGATACACAGTTAATAAACTTTCTCGTATTTCTCTTGCTAAATCATATTAACCTGGTGCAGAGATACCGTGATATGCAGGCGGTTCCCCAGTGTGAGGCTGCTCCATTGCACTGCGGAGTAGTTGGTGGTTGACCCTTGCGATTATTCTTATTTTTTATTAGTTTCACTTCTACCGTGTGTGACTTGCACACACTAGACATGCGCAAAACATCACTTGCCAATGTAATGTGATATGACATCACTTTTACAGACAGGTGATATTACTCGAAAACATTACACATCACTCTTAACATTACTCGGTGCGTTCAATAGATACTGTGACGACGAATACATTGTATCTATACACCCGAATCATTACTTAAGTGATGTGTTGATACACATCACTTAGGTAATGATTCNACTGCTGGCCCGAAGGCCTTTCCAGTTTCACCAGGACAGGTGGGCGAGCAAAGGCTCAGCCAGGAGGGGTGGGATTTGCTAACAGCTGCCCGAGCGCCTCCGAAGGAGACCTAACAACTCAAGAGCAATTGCTTCGCGAATGAATCTACTACCGGATCGGAATCGCGACCCGCTGAGAAGATCCGGCGAGAAACTCAGCGGGCTAATGTATAGTCTACGTGATGGCGGTTATTATTATTCATATAAATAGCTGTTTCTTTGTATATTATTATTATATATTTTTATAAATCATAGTGAATAAAATAAAGTTGATGACTTTGTAAAGTAGTTTTTATTTTTATTTTGATCAATAAAAAGTCATAATAAAAAATGTATACCCAAATAATTATTTTCTTTATATCTCAAATAGAACTTAAAATTAATATTTTCATATTAATAAGGAACTTCGTTCCTATCCGGTGTCCCACGACACGACACATCTTTTTGACGTGACAACGTCTTATAATTCGATGGAGCCGGCTGCACGCACGAAAAAACATGACTCATGCGACGTTACCTCGCTCTGAGGCGTTCCATTTAAGGCTTGAAGTGCAAGCGAGAGCGCGGAACGAGCGACAAAGAGGCACAATCGGCCTCCGCGTTCGGCAGCGTTCGACATCTGTCTCTCTCCTACTTAAATGAGCGATGCATCCGCGTGGACAGCTGCTATACAATAATACATTTACATGTTGTCGTCAAGTATGAAATTCAGCGAAAGGTGAATGTGGTGTCAATTGTCCATACAAAATATCTATCAAACAAATAAAATTAAAATTTGCTTTTGAAAAATGAAACCATTCCATCAGTATTTTCTTGTGACGTTGTCACGTTCAACTATCGTAAGTAAACCGACTTTACAGACAACCGATTTTTTGTAAATTTTAAGTCAACAGCTTTAAATATTTTGGTTCACTATACACTCATGTGTTGTATTAATGGTGTAAGCTGATGTTTTTTGTCTATCTATCTTTATTAAACTATGTAGGCTGTATTGTACTACGAGTATTACTTTACCGAATCGAAAAAATAAATCTGTATTAAAAGTATCGTATTTATTTTGTGGGTGAGCTGACGGTCTATCTGGTATTCGGTGATTATAAGTCCACCAGTATACATATAGTTTTTGAAAATTTGATTTTAATAACATGACTTCATTGCTTTCACAGTGAGGATATTCGTGGGTACAACATGAACACACTCGCATCGCTTGCTTCGTATCCTTATTCTTCAAACCACGATACATGTATTTCTGTTTACTGATTGACGTCAATTTCTATTCCACCAGTCCATTCAGTAGCTTATAGTTGTGCAGACAAATCTATGTTTTGACTTTTGTAAATAAGCAAAAATTTTCCAAATAATTCATTCAAATTTCTATCGTATCTTATCGAAGTACACTTTTAGATATAACATCCAAACAAATCTGCCACAACTCTCCGAAAGTTAGTCTTAAATAAAGCATCCACGAGTTTGTAGTATACGCGGCGCTGGTTGCGATCGATATTGAACCTCTATTTCGGTCGGTATGTTTTCATCTCGACAAATTAGTTTGTATATTCCATTAGTGTTGTTCTGTTATGTTGATTGATCGATGTATTCTTTACATAACATATTTGTTTTTGACTGAAGATAAAACTTTTCGATCCATTTTAGATTTCCAACCAAACCGTTCAACCAATTTTATTAAATACTTTAATTACGAAATTATAAATAAATAAAACCATCGGGGTGGCTTCAAACTTCTCTCCTACGTCATGGTTACCGGAAATATAACTTATAAAATGAATATAATGCTCTTTTTTTTCCTACCTATGCTGATAGCCTTGAGAGGCTATTTCAGATTCTAAACGTGTAGGTGAGCTCACGGGGCTCAGACCGGGTGTGTTGCTAACACTGGCCCTAGCAAGAGCAGTGCTTCGCAAAATCTACCACCGGATCGGAAAACGCAACCCACTGAGAAGATCCGGCGAGAAACCAGTGGGCTGTGTCTATGGGTTAATTTACTGGTCGAGCCCTTCGTCGCAAACAAACGGGTTCTGCGAGGACGGTAACCGGTGCACCTGCTCGGTGGAAGATCTTCCTTCTATCGTAACCCCGAAATCATACTTTTGTACCTTAGCCCAGTGAGTTTCTCGACGGATCCTCTCAGTGGGTCGCGATTCCGATTCGATGGTAGATTCTCCGAAGCACTGCTCTTAAAATTCTCTCAAGTTAAACTCGTTAGCTCACCCCTAGCCCCTAGCTAGAATGGCCCCATAGGCTACCATCGAATAAGTAGGGGAAAAAAGTACCATTGTACGTACGTACCTAAGTCTCCTATTTTAAGCCTATATAATACCTGTCTTTAGTGGTAGATATGCTAAGTATTTCAGCCTCAAAGAACACGGACTTGATGGTTTGGACAGGTCATTATGAGACCAAAATGTATTTTTTTTTATAGCTTAGGTGATTGGACGAGCTCATAGCCTACCTGGTGTTAAGTGATTACCGGAGCCCATAGACATCTACAATGTAAATACCGCCACCCGCCTCGAGACATGAGTTGTTTTTTTTTCCCTGCCTAAGATGGTCTAAAAGACCATATCACCGTAACTTTAGTAGGTGAGCTCACGGGGCTCAAACCTGACGATGTTCTTTACACAACCCTAGCCAGAGCTGTGCCTCGCAGAATCTACCACCGGATCGGAAACGCGACCCACTGAGAAGATCCGGCGAGAAACTGAGTGGGCTGTGTCTATGGGGTAATTAATTCATTGAGCCCTTCGTCACAAGCAACGGGTTCGGCGAGGACGGTGACCGGTGCTTGAGGTACCTAAAAGCACCGATAATGGATCGGGAGGAGTCTGTTTCGCCTAACAGTTACTATTTACGTATGAGTAGCGTATCAAATATATATGTAAAACTACATAATCAGATTGTAAGTTATCAGCATTATTACGTAGGCAGCAGGTTGGTTCAACCCTTAGCGTTGCTGACGCCCAAGGGCGACGGTCACCACTCACCATCAAGTGGGCCGTAAACCGTCTGCCTCCAAGGACAATAAAAAAACTGTATAAAAAATTCATCTAAATCAATTCGGGATTTTTTTGCAACGAATAACAGACAGAAGCATTCGTATTCATTTACAATATTTTTAATTTTTCGTAAAATTCATTTTAATGTATACTAACACATGGACACTACGTTAAAATGAATTTTAGGTCTCTACATATATCGTCTTTAAAATTTTCATTCTAAAGTTTACGATGTATCAAATAACTTACAATCTCGAAGCTCAAATTTCACTAAGTAGTAGTTGAACTAGGTTGAACTCTTCTAATTAATGTTTCTCTATCCTCAGGGCCCGGTATTAAGGGCACAATGGCGATACTAAACTGTCTGCTGGCCCGACAACTCTGCTTCGAAGACGCCTCCTGCTCCGCCATCCTCGAGATAATACCGCGCGTCTGTGGCTCTGAACTTGGTAAGACTTATATATACATACCTCTTTTTGAAGTGAAACTTCTTTAGAATCGTTGGGTGTGATTTCAAACTCGATGAAACGAAAAAATGAAACGTGAAGTTAAAATATAAATTCACAGAGGGCGCTACCTCATACGATAAAAGATGATTTACAATTATTTCTATTTAGTTTGTTATCAACAGATGTCGCTGCACGTAAATTAAACAATTCCTGAATCGCGATGACAAGATGATACACAGTTAATAAACCTTCTCGTATTTCTCTTGCTAAATCATACTAACCTGGTGCAGAGATACCGTAATCATGCAGGCGGTTCCCCCAGGGTGAGGCTGCTCCATTGCACTGCGGAGTAGTTGGTGGTTGACCCTTGCGATTATTCTTATTTTTTATTAGTATCACTTCTACCGTGTGTGACTTGCACACACACACATTTTTTTCTTTGTCGTATCACTCTTGTCAGAGCGGTCGTGGTCGCCATTCGCTAACATTGCTGTGGGCAAATGTTATGTGCCTCACAAGCAATCGCCACTTTTCCCGATTTGCAGTGAGTCTGGTACACTCACGTAAACAACCGCCAACTCCCGACTTGACTTGGTCAGTCCATCGCATGGACAACCGTCCACGTTTATAATCTATACCTACATACAGAAAAGTTTAAACTTCTAAATCAAGGGAATATCGCGTCGCTATTTCACTTAGCGATGACAAAATTTTATCAAATTGCAAGAAAATCTGAGATGAAGTCTACTTAGTGACCTTTCTTTAGACAGGAATGTTTTTGGAACGAAGTTCCTTATGGGACGATGTGGAGGGGTACCCAACCGGGAAAAAACGTCCGCAACGTAAGATTTTTATTAGTAATGCACACAGTGTACGACTTAATTTTGTAATTACGTACAAATTAGTAATGCACACAGTGTACGACTTAACTTTGTAATAACGTACAAAAAATAACATATTTTTTATCATACATTGACCACGATCTCAGAGCGTTTGTTTGCGCAATACACTGTTATGCAAACAACAGTGAATGAAGTGTACCACAATAAGTTCGCACGTTACCGAATGATCGTGGGTTGTTGCAAAACCTCCAGTTTTATTTTCTTTATACTTCGAATATAACTTAAAATTATTATTTTTATAATAAGGAACGTCGTTCCTATAAGGTGTCCCACGACATCACACATCTTTTTTTTTTTAAATTGGCTACTTCTCCCCTTATTGTAAAGTGATTTTAATCAATTACTTTGAAGTGACATGGTTCTTCTAGGGATTTGGTTTTGGTGGTGAAAAATCTCTTTTATTAACTTACATCATTAACTTATGGACGTCATTCGTGACGAAAAAAAACTGAAAATTATTCGAAAATTATTGACCATTCCCATTCCCATAAAACAGACACTTATTTAACGATATAAGTCGAAGGTCGATAGTAATTAATATTAAAATTTAATTTAATTTCTTTAATATTGAAAAGGAAAATAACTGAACTTAATTACTTCTTAATTGTTTTATTTTTAATAATACAATTTATCGACTTGGAGATTTGTTCACTCTTAAATGAGAATCAAAACTATACCGATGTTTTTATTCGCAAAATTCTAGGTAAGTAAAATGTTTTTTTTTTTTCTGATACCTTTAAAGTATAATTTCGGGTAAGTTATAATACAGAAGAAACACTTCAGTAATAGCGGCGGACAATAAAAAATATATTTCCAAGTATTCCTGAACAAATCCCGCATCGCACCCTTAAGACGTCTTTGAGCGATGTGCGTGTACTATATACAGGGTGATTCTTTTGTTAAGACGCCGGTATTATGCATGAGAACATATATGAGAATCTAACCGCGACATCTTACCTTCGAGAGGCGGCTGTAAGTTACACCGGCACGTAACTGACGCTAAGAATATAATTTATAGCATAAAGGATATTTTTCGTACTAAATATTATTATTTACGTCCGCAGTGACGAGATTAAGACTACTGTTCTAAAATACGATTCATTATATATATATATCTATTGCAGGACACCTATAGATTATGGACTAACTATTTGAAGTACTTCACGTCTTAATTGGTCTGGCAGTATCGATCAACTTCTAAAATATAAGACATATTATCTAAACTGATAATACTATATCATAAAAGCTAGTAAAATCTAATATTAAAAATAGAAAATTGAGTTAAGTTTTCACGCCGATTTTTTTTTATTGCCTAGATGTGTGAACGAGCTCACAGCCCACCTGGTGTTAAATGGTTACTGGAACCCATAGACATCTACAACGTAAATGCGCAACCCACCTTGAGATATAAGTTTTAAGGTCTCAGTATAGTTACAACGGCTGTCCCACGCTTCAAACCGAAACGCATTACTGCTTCACGGCAGAAATACGCGGGGCGGTGGTACCTACCCGTGCGGACTCACAAGAGGTCCTACCACCAGTAATTACGCAAATTATAATTTTGCGGGTTTGATTTTTACTACACGATGTTATTCCTTCACCGTGGAAGTCAATCGTGAACAATTGTCAAGTACGTATTTCATTAGAAAAATTGGTACCCGCATGCGGGATTCGAACACCATTGCATCGCTATATACGAATGCACCGGACGTCCTATCCTTTAGGCCACGACGACTTCTGCCGATGCAACAAAATAAAATTTTGAAGAAAGTAAATATGGAAACGTTTTTAGCCCCGGAAAAGAAATAGCCTTACTTTCAGTCCGCTGCTATGCACTAGTCTCCATCGACACAATAAAAAGCGTTACACAATTTTATACTTACACCTCATGTCATACCTACCACATCTAACCTACCATGGGTGAAAGTAAATTTTAAAATTAGTTTTATTTTTATTATTCACAACATTACGGTGTGACATAATTCTAAGAGTCGACTTCTCGCCGCAGTCACTCCAGGGAAGGACGCCAAGAGAGAATAAAATATCACAGACGTGGCCTAAATCAGACGTCATCAAATAATCATTCGTTTGACAAATGGGCTTCACTTATATCAAATTTATATCAATGGTTTTCAGAATCGTATCAGTATCATATCATATCATCGGATCGTATCATTCAGTATCGTATTGATATCAATGTATATGTTCTTCTTCTTGCCCTTATCCCACATTATGTGGTGTCGGCGGGGCATATCTTCTTCTCATGCATGCATAATCCGTATGCATGCATGAATACGTGCCACACAGAAGGATTTTTCTGTTTCTTCTTTTTGCGTTTCTTTTACATCAACAAATTTTGGTTCTATGAGTAGCATTTGATGATCATAAGCATATGCAACAAAATTCAGATTTTCAATACCAGAAAGATAAAAATATAACATTTAGTAAGTTTTTCTATATTTTCAGAATAATAAATATGATACATACATAAAATATGTTTAGGTGACATTTGTTACTCACACAACCTGTCCACACGTTCTTTCTTCGACATTTCTAGTACCCAATCTCCCCGTAATTTCAAGAAATTCTATATTAACCATCCATTAATCGTCCATCTTTTCAAAATAAAAACAAGAATGTTTTATCAACATTTAAATTACTGCTTCTGTGTTTTGGATAAACAAGAAATATTTACATAGAAAACAAAGTACTCGGGTACTGAAAAAACCCGAGGCTAAAGCCTTAAAGTAGGTCATTTTTACAAAAAAAAACGAACTCCAAACTTACAATATTGTTTCCATTAGAAACATTTCTTAAAATATAATTACAGCTTAACTGAATTATTCATGAACAACAGCCGCTAAAAGAAATCTAATAAGAAGTTCAGGAAATTTGTGAAATACTTTCTACGGCTCGATTATTCGAACGCAGCCCGCACGGCTAACACGGCCCTAAGTAGGACCCTTTCAGAGCACTTTATATCTATTTGGCGCGCTCCCACGACCGTGCCTCAATCTAGATTGTATTAAGGCACGTATTCTTAAAAGAAAATTAATTTCTATACACGCCTCCATTGCTTTTCGGTCACGTTCCCAGAACCCTATTTTACGTAACTTCAGGCGATTCCCTTCGAATTGGGTTAGAACATTGACGTTTGAGTGGCGCCGCGTGTCTAGTTGTAGTATTGACCGCGGGAACCCCCCTACTCTGACCGGGTTTTGACCCCGGACGGAGATCGAACGTCGGGTGTAAGAGTGCAGGGGAGTCGTTTAGAGAGTATAGCCCTAAAATTCCTTGGGCCCGCGATCTGCTTCCAACACCTTGCAGATCGTCGAGTCCCACATACCTCGCGCGCCCCCTAGGCGCGGGGACCTCGTACGAGGTTCGGCGGCCGGCCCGAAAAAAAAAACCGAACGTTGACTTTTATATTAACTATACGTTCTACAATCTAAAATCAAAAAATGTCAAACAAGTAATTCAAGCTTATCGGTTTTTTTTTTAATTGCTTAGATAGGTAGACGAAGCTCACAGTCCACCTGGTGTTAAGTGGTTACTGGAGCCCATAGACATCTACAACGTAAATGCCGCCACCCACCTTGAGATATGAGTTCTAAGGTCTTAGTATAGTTACAACAGCTGCCCCACCCTTCAAACCGAAATGAATTGCTGCTTCACGGCAGAAATAAGTGGGGTGGTGGTACCTACCCGTGCGGACTCACAAGAGGTCCTACCACCAGTAAAGCTAAATAACGTTTAGTTCATTAATATTTTTAGAGCATAAATTAACAGTTTACGACAAACCCATGTTTGGTTTTCATAAACAAGTGTGCAATATAACTTATTGGAATATATTTTTTCTATAAACTCTAAGCATTTTACAATAGTAACATGAAATCTTTCCCAGGACAGGTTTTAAGTATTAATTATTAATATTTAACCTTGTATACGACCCACGCTTCTATTTAACCTAACGCATTCGACCTTCATCGCAATTTTCGAAGCGAGGTTCTTTCTTAATCTAACAAAACCATCTATTTTCTGACATCACATTATTTCAGTTTAAAAGCCTTAAGTTGCGGTCTTAAATGAGCATAGCGC